CCCCCCCATCACTGGTAAAAAATCAAAGTATTAAAATAATTTAAAAACGTGTTTCAGTGAAATGTTTCTTTCTTCCTAAAATATGCTGGGCCTCTTTCCCTTTGCCACTGTCTCTCTTTTTCACTTTTCCGCTGTGTTAAATGAGACTACTGGTATAAATGGATTTATGCTGCTCTGAGATGGGTGTGTGAGAAGTGGGCCTCCTAGTCACAAGCTGGACTGAGTCCCTGATTCTGAAGCATGTAACCTCTTCTAAAAACAGCCTGAAAAAGAAATTGCTATGAAGAAAAACTTCTGTACATCTTTTCCCACCTGCCTTGCCTGACCACCAATGCTCAGGTGTTGGCTAGTTTCAGTTAAGAAGATTGCTATGGGCCCAGCATGAAATGTTTCTACTTCTGAAAAACAAAAGGTCTCTCTCACATGACAAGCCTTTTGTGATGAATTTCCTTCACTTTGTAACTCTTGTTGTTGTGATGTACACAATGAAAAATACAGAACCGCATTTGCAAAGCACTTCATTATATCATCTTTTCTTCTTAGTATTGGTGTATAAAACATCACTGTATCAGGAAAAACAGATGGGAAAACTAGCTTATGCTTGTATAAAGAGCATTGTAAACATGTTCCCCACTTTAATTTTTATATTGCCTCATCCTAGTGTTCTGGTGTGTGTAGTTTCTGGTGCCTCTTGTAACCCCAACAGAACACGTTTTTGTAACAGCTGAGTGTCTGGTTTTTTTCCCCCTCCCTGTCCCCCTTTTTTGGTGGCTGTCAAGTGACTGAGTTGACAGATTAGTTCCTGTCTTGGAGAGTGGTGTTGTGTGAGGCTGATAATGTCTGTAGAAGGCTAAAGGGGCCAAATGCATCACAGCACTCTCAAAATTCTTAAACTTGCTTTCACACAACACATACAGCCTAAGAACCATAGCTGTTCACTAAACTAAAGACCCTCTTAATTCTGACTTCAGTCCCTGATGACCAGCACTCTTCAAAAGATGCCCATTGAAGGTGACAGTCTGGCAGCAGCTTCCTTCCCCCCCCACCCCCCAATTCTTCATAGTTGACAGGTTCTAGCAGTTGGAGAAATGCAGCATTAGATTTCTGCTGCTATTCATAGCTGTAACTAGTGCAAGAAGTCTCGGTGAAATTGAATACTCCAGTTCCGCCTGAACATGATGTTTATAATGACTTCATACTTAATACCCATTGCTGTCTGAAAGATGCTGCTTTTACTGACTATTTGTACAATTCTCCCACTTGCTGACTTGTGTGCACATCCATTTTACAAAGCAGGAGTAGCATGCTCCCAAGAACCTTCTAGAACAGCAACAATTAACTTAGCATGAATTTTGATCAGAACACAGTTTAATGTGGTTTTTCCATTAAAAGCTTACAAGTAGTAATTTTGGTTTGATCTATGGGGCAAAAGGAATCTGTAAGACTGTTTCCTGAAGGAATAACAGGAGATGCCCCTAGCTTGTTGTTTCTCTTGCAAAAATGTGGTTAAGAAGTATTCAACATCACGT